GGTACTACCTGTAGTATTTATCATTGACAGTATAACAGGTTTCATCTGAATGTAGTATAAAAATCATACATTTATGTGTATGTTTCATAATTTCATTTAAAATGGCCGTCTGTCAGCCATTTAATGTATATTGCTGACATATATGTACTACATGTATCCTCATTGTTATTGGTTTCTAATGTGTTTAGTAATTTTATACAATTTTCAGCATGTCACATTTTGAAAACTATTTAACAGAGACTGTTATCCTGTTTCTAGATCCTATTGGTGCGTAACACTGCTGTGCCGGCAGATAGAGAAACCCTTATACTGGATGCTTTCAACACCACAGAGACAGATCTATATCTTGTAGAAGCTGTGAAGATATTAATGTTGTACAATGCTATTAGACTCTATGAAGATAATACCACTGGTAAAGAGGTCAGTAGCAGTGTGGTGTTTAAATATAGATTGGGGGGGGGGGCATAAACAAATCCTTGTCGATGTCTCGCTGTCAACGAAATCTCAGCAGACATTAGCGTCTAATTATCTAATGATAATTTCATGAAATAAAGTAAAATATTGTACTGACATTGAAGAGTAAAGGTATTGAATTTGTATACTTCAAAAAGGAGTACCTGTAATAAGAACCAAAATGTGAAATCTGTGTAGACTGTGTAAACATTATTAATTCCACTCCGTGTAGACTTGCTTTTTTAAAATAAGGAATTTTCTCATTTTATACTGTAATATTTTTGACAGATCAAGTTAGTTTCAATACATCGACCAATACATGTTGTTTTTTTGTTGTTGTACTAGGTGCCTCTATTTTTTAATTCCACTCTCTGTAGACTTGCTTTTTTAAAGCAAAGAATTTGTTACTGTTATATTTTTGACGGAACAAGTTAGTATATTAATAGAGTTTCAATACATCAACCCATACATGTTGTTTTACTAGGTGCCTGTATTTGTATGGTTAATGTATGCCAGGGATAGTTCATCTAATCCACAGCAGTTGATGAGAAATCATTTAAACTCAGTTGGAGACAGTGCTGGTGTAGAACAGGTATGTATGACTGCATCATTGATATCTCACTGAGGTTAAGGGATTAGTGTTTTCTTCAAATTACTGCATGTTAACTAGTTGTTGAAGTAATCTTAATAATCCTGAAGGTTTCAAGAAACTTAATTTATGTGTCGTAATTTACCATATTGGTCACTAACCTTTTTACCACCTGACTTTCTCTTCCAAATTTATCTGCATTTTTTTTCTTATATTCTTCATGATTTCTTGAAATGAACACTAATTTTGAAGCCAATATTTTGTAAATTTGTAATAAAAAGAAAGAATTGGTGGTAAAAAAGTTTAATAGTACCCACTTTCTACAAGTATCAGTTTGAAATGTCACAATTGAATATGTAATCAGTTTTAGTCGTGGGTGGAAGGGGGTGTTAAAAAAAAATTAGTGAAGGCGTAAATCTAAATACTTGAATATTTGACGTTGCATTCAAACCTTTGTTTACATTAGACGCAATATAGCGCTATAGTCCATGATAGGAATAGAATTCGGTTACTAAATGCAAACTTACGCACAGTGCAAAACGTATTTCATTGTCATTTCAGTATATTATTCCTCAGTAAATTATTTCTGCAAGCTGGAAAAAGGTTTTCAGAAAAATATCGCAAAGTATGCACATGATCTATACAGAATTGCATTGGTTGCTACTACATGCCAATTAATACAATCATTGCAGTACTGCCTTTGTACATACTTTGCGGTATTCTCATGATAACCTTGTATATTACGAAAGTCTTACTTTGACTTGTCCTATTACAGGTGGAGATGTTCTTAATGGGTTATACACTGGGTGTGACATTAAAAGTTGTGAGACCTTCCCAAGTCGAGAAAGACGATTTCATCACCTACTATCCAGATGATCATTTTCATGACTGGAACAAAGTTGTCCTGATAGCGGAAGACGACAGGCATTATAACATCGCATTGAACTGACATAGTACATGATATTGCAAACCCACCAAAAACTATTAATGCACCCACCCATCATTGATTTGCAGCGTACTCCCTTCGTCTGTCCAAGTATATTAATTCAGGTCACTTGCTCCATTCCCGTAAGATGACCATCCAAATTATTAGTAATTTTATAACACAACATTTTAGTGCCTTAAACTAAATCATAGCCTACAATTTTATCATAGTACTATCTATTCAGTGTTTTATAAAGTGTTTTAGAAAGAGTACATTTATTTACATATTGAATACTGTATGTGATTGGGTTTTCGCTAATTTCTGGTTTCAGTGGTTGCTTACACACACCCATACACTCACACATACACACTTCAATGATCCTAAGTGCATATACCACATTTGCACTATTAGAAGTGAACATAAACCTCAAAATTGTATTTATTGTATATTGCATATGTCATTTTGACCAGACAACCTTCTGTACTGATTTAAGCATATGCGCTACTAATTATGCAAATATGGTACATCTTTCACTTTCAGTTCCAGATGTAGAAGACATGAGCATACACTTTTAAGTCATAATTATAAGTACTGTAGATGTATTAATTTTCACTGGTATTTATTTAAACTTTTACAGTAAAACTTATGAGGTCTATTGTAATTTTAAATATTCATGTGGATTTAAATTAGAGAAAAATTACCAAAATTAAAATTAAACGAAAAATTAATGTGTTTACAGTATACTACATTGGTTTGCTGTTGTAATTGAAATTTAGTTTGAATTAACTTATTCTTCTGTTAAAAAATAGATGGTTCCTGCTTTGTGATTATGTCAAGTAATGATCACCAGAATATTGTTTAGCCAGGGTAATTGATCCTCATCATCATTGCGTGCTGAGAACTAAATCATGTGTTAACACTCTTGTATAGTTTAAAAGAAATTTGAATAAGCACATTATGGAAAAAATTATGCCGAATTGGTGGTTTTCCATTCACTGTGTGATCTCTCGTAATACGTGAAAAGTGATCGAACATGCAAAAATGGACTGATTTGATTTTGAACTTTAATAGTTCAAAGACCAATACTAATATGTCTCTCTTTTCAGAGAGAAACTCACACTCGATTTTCATATCAAGCCATTTTGTCATTCGAAATATCCTGATGTTGAAGCCTGAAAGGAAAATACACAATGGTTCTCTTGAGTAAATGAAATTGTATCATTTTTCAAGCATTAAAAAAACAAATCCAAATGATTAAATTACATATTTGTTTTCTCAAACCCGGATTATGTTACTTACAATTATATCGTTTACTGAATATTTATGTCCTTAGCTGTGAATATTTGTTATCCTTGTTTCACCAAGGAGTCTTGCTAATTGGTACATCCTGTATCTACCCCAATTACTGATACCTTGTATATTTGTTATTTGAGTTGATCTTTTCAGCCAACCTTTGTAAGTTAAAAGTAGGGTATATTGCACGTGTTGTATTTGTAATTGTCTACACCAATCAACTGCCACCAAGATACCATTTATGTTTATCATTCAGAGTCTGCTCTGTATTGTGTAATTTATACACACATTTACCTTCATTCGTCAAATCATGTACTTAATTATTGCAGGTGTGGTATTTATATTTGATAGTTCTGTTTGGTAATAGTTGTCCACTAACACATTGCCGTCCTCAATTCTAAACACCCAGTGCGATTACAGCATCCAAGTTACCTACTGATTGTCTGTCGGCATCTAATGTCTGATGGTATTCAAGGCAGCGATTACATTTTAAAAAATCTTTAAAACTATTCACACTGATATCATTTTTCTTTAACCCATGCTTGTTTCATGGCTGTATTACTTATATTCAGTTATTGTTTCTGTTTATTTTGTGGTTTAAGTTAGAAAACATAAGCTTTGTTTGTATGTAGATGTGCTCAGATTCTGTAAACTAAAATTATATTGATAACCCTAGTATTTTAGTCGTGAAGCCCTACGTGTTCACGGAGACTGCTATTTTACTTCCTTTCATACTGCTACATGAAAGAATGGTGACATCAGTTACCCACTTATTAAAAATCAGCCTCTGATTGCATGATTATTGCATGTACAGAATATTAGCATACGTGATGTCATAGCTGGTATCCATGATGTCATAATCAGCATCCATGATGTTGTACTGTAAAATACTTTA